TTGTACAACCATGAGGAATTGCTCTGTGTGATCTGTTAATCAAAGGACCATAACATCTATATGTTTCAATTAACAGATTTGCAGACTTGTATCATATAAGGGTCCTAAACGATTTAGTAGGCATCTTTGCTTTCTATGTCAGAGACTTTTGTAAGCAAAATCTGTATTTGAATGAATGTTTCATACTGAAAAAATGAAATATCCTTGCATGGTATAAATTAAGATTGGAACAGTGCTCTTATTTGGAATTTATTTGGAAATCATATTGATTCATTTGAACATAGTTTTCCTATACAGAAGCTGAGCCAATTCTACTGTGCTGCTTTAGATTAGGTAAGCTTTTTCAAAAGCTTTGTTGGAGTTGCTTTCTCATTTATACTAGTTGAAGTTCAACAAATTTTGCTATTGCAGCTGAGAAGTGTGTTTTTTTGGGATAAACCAATTCTTTGCCATAATCTCTGTCATTCTGAACTAAAATTGAAAAAGAAAAGGCAATCGGACTGCCTGAAATTGGATGATGTTCAAGGCAAGGCATCTTGTTTCAAGACATTTTCCTTGAGGAAGGATATATAATTTGAAAATATTCAAGTCCTATTTAAATACATACTTTTCTAATAAAAAAAAAGTAAGTTTAAATATTTGATGTTTGATTATTGTCTACTGAAAATCACAATGTACTTCACTCCCACTTATTTCTATAGAAATTCAGCTCTGCTTAGGAGTTAGCATGGTGCTGTTGTCAGAAAGACTTCTGCATTGTTACAGAAAACTGCTGAATGTATTCCTGTGATCTGATTCTGAAAGAGGTCCTGCATTGTGTTCAGCCACAAAACAGTGCTTGAACCTAGACAAGATTTTTAATAACACCTAACTTTATACATTTTGAACTAAAAGAGCTTGTGTTGCTAGGAATAAAATTGATAGTGTGTGGAAAAAAATATTAAATGAAACTACAATATAAGCCTGCACGTACAATTCAGAGGTAGAATTCCTGGATAAACAATGGGAGCTAAAACCCTAGAAAGACCCATCTCCTTAGATCAATTTTTATTTCCATTGTGTCCACATGTCCAAAGAGATGCTCATCTGATTTTGTTTCTTTAAACAAATTTAAGGGAAAATTGCAACTTTTCAGTATGCATAAATTAAAAATCACAATATCTACAACTTGCTTGCTGTAATCAGTGTGGATTGGATTTTGGATTTTGTTTTCTGGATTTTGTTTTCTGTTACAGAATAGAAATGTTTTCCTCCACAGAAAATTAAAATATTATTCTATATACCCTCCATGTATTATTTGAAAGTTGTACTTATGATAGGTAATAAGCGTCTTTTGAGATTTTTGGCAAGTAGTTAATAGCCAGTTTCAGAAATATGTAAAAAAAATATGTTTCATTTCACATTTTCAGTAAGAAGATGTTGGGTTTTTTTTTTTCTTTCAAGAAATACTCAATGTCTTTTAAACATATAATAATTTTACTGTGAGGTATTTCCTATGTCACTTGCTAAATTTATATGCCTGAACTCATTGATTCTCAAGACTTCCCTGAAAGCTTTGGGGCTGAGTTTTGGGATTGTATCTTTTGGAGAATTAAGTATAACATTGCAGAAGATAATTAAAGAACTTGAGTTGTTTCTTTGCTTTGTAACCAGATGGTGACAACATAAGATCAATTAATTTCCAGGGAGATCTTCATTACTGAAATAGACTTACAATAAATACAAAATTGAAAAAGGAGAAAAAAAAAAAGATAAAGAGAAAACTTATTTGCTTGGAAATATGTGTCATTACAACTCTGAAAGCATCTTTATGCTAGGTCCATAAATAAAAAAAAATGTTTTGTCTCAGAAAAAAAAAAGAAACTTTCAGGCAAGGATGACAGGGATATGATGAATCAGAGCTTCTGATAATGCTTGCCTGATTTTCCCCAGATTGTTTCATTCAGGCTGGCTGGTGGTGAATTGCTTTGTTTATTGCAAGTACATAAATAAGATCTTCTAGTGGTATTGAGTCTTTATGATGGTTCCATAGACTGTGGCCCTTAAATCTCTTGACTGGAAAAGTTCCAGGGAAACTCCATCCGTCGCTGCCTTAAGATTCTTCTCTGAACTTAGGAGCAGAAATGAAGAATATTCAGAGGCTCACAGAAAAATGGTCTTTTGTCATTAATATCCTTGACGAGGGAGTATTTATGTGATGGAAGTGGGAAGAGCTGCTGCAGCTCTACAATAACTACAAATTCTCTTCTGCTATAGGAACAAGAGTGGTGAAAGAGAAGTAATCTTAAAAACAAAAGCAACAACAACAAAACTACAGAAGTTCTTAAGAGTTTTTTTTTTTTTTTTTTTTTTTTTTTTAATAGCTGCATGAAGTTTAGTGAAAGGTCGCATGGTATTATCTTTGAGTACTACTTGCTCTCAGTTAGCTATCCCAATTTTCTAAGTTCCTCAAAAAATGAAGGATGGCATTCTGCCTGGAAGAAATATCATCTGTGAAAACGAACAAAAGAAACAGCTAAAAACAAAAATAAATAACAAATCACCCAGCTGGCTCAACTTGAGACTATGTAGAACTAAAACTGGGGAGGTTCAGAAGCTGACAGGTGATTTGTAGACATGGGAGTTATTTCTATTCCTTGGAAAGATTTTGTGTTCACCAGTTGTCTTGGCATAAGGTTTCAGTGTCCTTTCCTTCTGAGTTTAGTTCCTGCTCACCTTCAGGATGCTGTAAAATGTGATCCTTTCCACAGGTTTTACACAATAATCTGCATGCATTTCAGTCCTTGTCTGCATTACATGATTTACTCTGTCTTTTATGGATGGTGTAAGAACTTCCAGATGGTGAGGAATATGGTGATCCATGCTCCCAGGAATGCTTACACATATCAATGTTATGCTTCCCGTTTTTCTTTGGCTTCCATTTAGTTTATATTCTCCATGCAGGACCTTAATCATAATGTTCAAATGCCTGAGGGGTTAAGATCTTAATACATCTCTGACTCGGTCTTCTTTACATGATCGACTAAGACAGCTCCAGCCCTTGTGAGCAATACATCCCCTGCAACCCAGAATGAAATATATTGGGGTGGAGGAAGGGAAGAAAGAATGGAAGGAAGAAGAAAGCATGCTTTTACAATATGTTTCTGTATCATGTCCCACTTGGATTCTTGGCAAACCTTTGCTTCATAACCCAGGGTCTCTGAGGATGCATAGTTTAAAAGAAAAAGCAAGTAACAGTTGTCATCAGTATGCTTATTTGATGTTTTTGTTTGTTAACAGGATAGGTGGAAAAGAACAGAAAGTTAATGACACTCAAGGGATACCTCATCTCACAAGTGTAATTGTCAGGAGCCATCACCTTCTAGGGTGATTTTAGCTCTATAAAATCTTTCCAACATTTAGAAATGCCTAGTGTTGCTAACTGTGTATTTCATATATTTGCATGTGTGTATGTACTTTTTTTCATGTTTTTCTTTAGCTGTCCTGCCCCTATACTATAGTGTAGGAGCTAGAGCAACGTAAAAGTTAGGTAGCTTAGCAGGATGATTTTGATGTCCCACAGTATTTTGATACTTTTGACTCTTTCAAAAGAGAATAAAACAATAGGAAATATCATATGCTGGTTCTGACAAGAATGCAGTAGCAAAATTGTAATTTAAATGGAAAAAAAAAAAAGGGATAATGCAGAAATATTATTACACTTTTGGATGTCAGTGTTTCTTTATTTTTGTCTTTTGGTTTCAAAATGGATTTAAAATTTCCAGAGTATGTCTCATAATTTTTCATTATTTCAGCAGTGTTATTGTGAATATTATTTGCAATCATATCAGCACAATATTTCATTTTTTTTCAATCCTGAAGTTTTATAAAAACACAAGATATAGTTTGATATATATGATTTGTGTATTATACATATATTCACTTGAATTGATTGCTTGTAAAGGCAAAACCCACTAAAAATGCTATCTCATACTGTACCATCCAGAAGCAATAATGTAATACATTTGCCCAATGTGAAGTGATAGCTGGGGTTATTTTCAGTCTTAGTTAGCACTGAAATTCAATAATGTATCTTTCTTGCTATAAAAGTTAGTATTTTTCTATATTACTAGCATACTTTCAGTAATACCAGAGGCACACATTTTAAATGTGTGATTTTCACCTCAGAATAATTTTCTAAAATATTTATTTCTAATTTCCTATTTTGTCTTTTACGGCACGATCCAATTTCTAAATCAGGTAGTATGTATTTTCTTAGTGTTCAGAAAAAGCAACATATATTAAAAAAATCAATAAAGGCAGAAAGTGTTTCTGAGGTAACCAGGCAGTGCCATTTTGCTGTCATTTGGGACTATGTTTTGTCGTTAACCATGGTTACATAGTTAATTTGCTAAGTGAAAAAAGACCAGCTACTTCCAATATGAGTCAGGTAGGGAATGAATTATTATTCAGGTCAGATAAGGTAAGATGTGGTTAGATAAGGTTCAGGTTAGATAAGGTAAGGGCCAAAGGACTGGCAATCTGGTCAAATGTGGCCCTACTGTTTTGTAAAGGAATCTTTCCAAAACATCACAGAAAGCAATTAAGACAATTATATTGATGGACATTTGGGGAAGGACTTTCAATATTTTGTATTTATTTCTGTTGCCCATATATTTGACCATTGCTTTTCAGAAGATGCATTGATCCCACACCTTTTCAATCTCACTGCTGTAGAATCAGGTTGTTCCTTTACATAGCTGACATAAACGTGAATGTCACCAGTGCGACCTCGAGTCTCCAGCTTTTATGGAACAGTAATCGTTTTCTGACAGAACCAGTTTGCAAGGTTTTCATATATCCGCCACAAAGAAAAATTGTCTGTCATATCGGGTGTATGATATCCATCAGCTGGCTTCCCATTTGTGGTGGAGCCGTAGGGCCACGGTTCTGTTCGGCGGTGACGGATTGCCTGCAGTGCATTCAGTGACGCTGGTACCTGTTGCTGGTTCTTTTTCCAGGTCAACTGGCTGCAGGTACATGTGAGATTGTTACTTTGGACAGAGATAGCAGTCAGCCCCGAAGGACTATAGCCCGACAAACAGCTCGCTGTGCATGTAAAAAAGGACAGATTGCCGGTACAACAAGAGCAAGGCCAGCCTGTGTTGATGGTAAGAAGCAAAGATCTATTTGAATAAGTTTCTGCAGATAAAAGGGTGATTGCAACTGGTAAAGTCTCATCAAGTAATTAAAACTCCATAGCAGAAATTTCCGTATGTCCCAAATAGCAGTGCTAATACAACTGAAGATCCCAAAATAGAGTTTGCCAAATAGTATGGTTTATTTCAGTGACAATGTTTGCATTTTCTGTTTTGTTTTATTGCAATATGCACTTGAATGTTAAGGGCATGATAACCGTCATATTTTGTATGTGGTTATTGGATCATCAGTGAAACAGGATTCTTTTCCCCTAATTTTTATTCTACAAAAAAAAAAAAAAAAACTACAGCAGAAAGATCCTCAAAGATTTTATGCCCCTAGGAGCTTCTGTGACCACTTTTGTGTGAGAGAGAACATTGTTAGGGAAATACTAATTCTGTACTTGAATGTAGCATCTGAGATTACCTTACATGCCCAGCATTCTTTCCTTAAAATGATGATTCTGTGTGATTCACTGCAGATGCAATAGTAGTGTGCATCCTGGAAAAGTGCTGACATAGAGGGAGGTATGAAAATACTTCATTTTGAAATCATTTTGTGAGACAAATGGATTCCGGTGTCCCTGCTAAATAAGCCATTAACAACGATGCAGTATTCAAGACAGGTCTGCCAGTGCAAGCTTATTAGGAAGCATTCATATTATAATTAAAAGTAAAATTATATATATATTGAAAATAGTTGATGCAAAATGATATGTATTGGTCAAGGCTCTGTTAACAGCAGTAAAGAGAAGATGCTTTTATATTGTAAATATAATAAATTCATCAATTGTCTTTGAACAAGTGGGTTTGAGTATAAAAATATTGTGTAGCTCACCCTACCATTGCTTCAGAATTTGATTTTGCCCAGTGACTATCAAAGTAGAGAGCTCAAAGGGGATTTCAGAATCTACCCACAAAGCTAAATATAGAACATCATACACATTCTATTTTTACATGTTGCTTTCACTGTTTTTGGTACTCTGTAAGACTGTTCATTTTTCTTATCTATGCTAATGTGAGACTGTATACAGGAATTCCTTTTTCTTGTTGAATTATAAGATCATGAGATTTAATTGCCCAAGAAAGGAATGTGTTTAATGTGTCATTTATAACTGCAACTTTAGCAAAACTGCTTGTTAGCAATTAAATAATTCAAAATATGTTTCCCATTTTAAAACAAAGTAATGAGGGAAATATAGGATTTCCTTCATCTGATTAGAATGAACACATTTTTTCTCAGGCAGTTATGGGTCTAGTCAAGGAGAGGTTTATTTGCTGAGTGAGGTCCATTGCTTTGAGGTCCAAAGATGTACAATCTAATCCAGGTTTTCTTTCTACTGAATGGTGAGCAAGTGGACCTTCTCAGAATAATTCGTGTCATTCTATGATCAGATGTACTACTCTCTGTTACTCACTGTTTCACTTCCTTGCTTTAAAAGATACCTGTGGTGACTAAATCAGACTTCACACAGCTAAAATCTATATGTGTTAATAAGAAGAGATGACTTCCCCTACCCTTCACTTTTTATATTAGCTTAGTTTCCAAGTAAAGAAAGTTTGAGGCCATTTAATATTTGAATGGTGGTTTTCTTCCTTTTCTTTTTTTTTTTTTTTTTTTTCTTTTTTTTTTTTTTTTTTTTTTCCTTTCCTTTTATCTGGAACTCCTGTAAAGGGGCAATTTCAAATTCTGCTTTCAGTGTGCATGATCATCATTTTATGCAAATAGAGAGCTAGATGATTGGACTAATGGTTAGGTGGTGTTGTATAATCAGAGAGGGTTCTTTGTGTAATACTTCACTTTGGAAAAATAAGTGGGAAGTACATCAGTTGAAAATAGAGCTGCAAATTAACTTGTGTGTCCACATATTAGCCTTCATTTTAGAGCTTTCATCCGTTTTCCTAATAAAATGTAACCCCCCTGTTCTTTATTATTGCCATTAGAGTGTTACATAATTAGGATGTTGGGTGTTTGCTAAGAATGATAACCATAAGATGAGTAGGACTTGATACTTTTGCTTTTCTGCACACTGGAAAGCAGTGCTCAAAAAGCTTAATGGTACCTAGAGCTGGTTAGCAACTAAGTTAAAAAGCACAGAAAACATCTTTGATCTGTTATTTTTACTTATGGTTCTGTGATTTTTACTTATCACGGTTATTATGAAAACATACAGAAGTTTTACATGCAAACAGGCCGTTAGCAAAATAATAATTTGCCTGACAGACAGTAATAAAGGAAAGAATAAGCAAGCACTTTCTCTTATTTCTAATCTTTTTCAGCCATGAAGATGACAGATAAACTGGTCATTAACAAATAAATATTAATATGTGAACTGGACAGGTTCAATTTAAAGAATAGTTTAAAGAATACAAGCTAGAATTCTCACCTTCAGAGTTTTGAGTCTGAATTTTTCCATCCTACTTATTTCTACAATGGGATGTTTCAAACATTACTCCTAAATGCCTTCTACTGGTGAGAACATGCAATCTATATAAATTAATAACTCAAAAAGCAGTTTTGTTTCTGATGTTGAAGTCATAAGCTGCTGTTTTAGTAATGCAACAACTGCACATAGATTTTTTGTACAGTAAAGAAAAATATTTTCAGCAATAGAGTCTTCCCTTTTGCACACATTTATACAAAATCTCATTGGCCTAACAAACAAGCAAATGCTTCTTCCAGCTTTTTAAAGTACGCATCTAAGGGTATTTTTTACCAATTTTAATTAACTACTTTTTATAACATAGTTGTAATAAGAATGAAAGTCAGTACTATTTGGGATTTTACTTCTGCTTTTGCTTTCGAAAAACTTGGCTCTTCAAACAAGTTGTTTTATTCTTTATATGATCTTGATTTTAATGAGATTATCTTTGTAGTAGGGTATAAAATTATACCTTAGATCTTTAATAATTAATGCAAAGGCACTGGATGTGAAATAAGCAGGCCTAGTAAGCATGACCTGCTAACCTACTAGCAAGAATATATTAGTTAGTTAGCAGTTGGGTTACAACATCTGGCAAGTGAGTATTTTGAAGCCTCAGTAGCAAAGCTGGAAATTTTTACAACCTAAGTATGCATGTTTTATCTGGCTACCACATATTCATTGTTTCATGGTGAAAAATACCTTAGAATATGTTCAGGTATGCTGTATATTTTTTTTGAGCACAGAAATGTATGTCAATTATTACAGTAAAGAAAAGAGGAATTTAAGGCTTCTCAAGCCTTACAAGCATTTTCTGAGATTGCACTTCATGACAGAGGTTTTAAAATTTAAGTTCTGAGTTGATTACCAAAATCCATTGTGATTTCCACTGCTGAATAAATGAGGGTCTTTTCCTGGGAAGTGCAAGACAGTATGTGTCAGAACTGGAATTCTTAAAAATGACTGCATACTGTTTAAGTTATGATTTGCACAGAGTTTTTCTTGAAATATTTCTCTATTTCTTATTTACTGTGTTTTTTTTGTTTGTTCATTTACTTATTTTGTTTTCTTTAACAGTCTTTAAGTATGACAGACTGCTAATGTAGCTCGAGAAAACAGCATCAATATTCAGCCTGGTTTCAAGCTTGTTTTTTATTGTTAGTTGTGTCATTCCTAGACAAAAAACAAATTGTGATGTATATTTGGTATGCTTGATTGTAAAGCATTTTGTACTCATGAATGTAGATTTTGTGGTGTTATAGTGTTATTTGCCAGCACTTACTTGTGCTTTTATTATTTAGAGTCTTCATTCCCTAGTCCCTTTTTCTGAGATCATATTCCATAGCAATGACCTCAGGTGCACTACTCCAATAAAATATAATATTTTGGTATAGCATCTGATATATTACCAGAGTAATTTGCCTGAATGTGAATCAAGCTTCAGCATTTTTTAGCTGGAGCCCATGAAAAATTGGAAGATAACAATTACTCGTTATATATATCCAGGATCTTCATTAATTTTGGACTTGTTTTAAACCAAAGGACAAAAAGTCTTTGATAATAGTATGTGTGTATATATGCACTCATGTGTAGTTTGTGTTCTTTCACAGCAATTGTATCTTCCTGAACAAAAGATAGTCAAGTATTTCAGGAAATAGAAGTATATTAGTATATTAAGTATATTAACTGAGAAAGGAAGATATCTTTTAAATATCCATTGCATTCCAGTAATTCTGTCTAATAGCTCAAATTAAGCAGCAGCTTTTCTCCAAAACAAAGAATCATTGTATAGGAAGAAAAAGGGGCATTGGAGAAGTGGTTTAACAGCCTAAGAAAACTAGAACAGCATGTCTGTTTGCCTGCCTGACTTCTGTGCTTAGAAGATTTGACTGACACGTGTGTCCATTAGGAACTGCAAGGAATTCATTGATCCTGACTTCCAAGATTTCTGAGTTCTAAAAAGACAGAGCTCAGATAACAGAATTCAAGCTTTCAGACTGGTTTCCATTTTTATTTTCTTTTTTCTCCATGTGCATCAAGGTCTTTTTTTTTTTTTTTAATTCTTGCTTCTTTTTTTGCAAGTGTTCTACTGGTATTATAATCTATAGAAGCCCACTTGGTATAGATTGTTTATACATTATGATTAACATGCTTTTCAGTTGGTATTGATTGATTTTGTTTAACACGGAAACTCAAGATCCTTGAGGAAGCCACATTAGTTTTAATCAATAATTCCCTGCTCTTCTCATTAGCTCTAGGAGTCTATAGGGATGCGTAGGGGTCAGAATTGATCATTAATTGAATCCTAGGTCATGCACTTGAAAGAAAACTCTTAACAGCTAGGGACCTAAGTGAGATTTGTCATTGTAAATACCTTTAATGTCGTATCCACGTTTCCCAAAAGAAAAAAAAAAAAAAAGAAAAAAAAGATTAAAGGATTTTCAGAAATAGAAATTTTAACATTTTTGTTCCAAATATTCCATGTGGTTGTTCCTGACTTTTGTGCAGATAGTTCTCACTGTAAATATTATACATCCAAGACTGTTGCAT